TGGAAATAAAAAACAGAGAAAAAAGAATTCACGAACTGACTGGCTTAGAAATACACAAATTATAGTTTATAATAGAAATAAAATAGATGATTACTTAAGCAGTGCTTTCGAACAAATCATATACCAAGTGGAGAAGAAAGGAGGTAAAACTAATTTTTGAGAATATATTTAGGTGGTAATACTGTGTCTGGTGGGACGATTTGCAGTTCTTCTCTTACAAATGAGCATCTAGGACTCTTGTAAAGCTTGTAAAAAATAGGCCAATTTTCTTTTATCAAATAAGAATTAATTGAAAAAAACTTCAGGAAACCAATTGCAATCAGTTGCCCTTCTTTTTACACCTTCTAATTCACCAGGTTTTAATAAATGTCAAACTTTAGTATGGCTAGGCAAAAGAGGTTCATTATAACCAATTGGTCTTCTATTCTTTACTGAAGGTCTAGCTATTATTTTTTTTCCTTTTAATGCTTGTTTTACAGCTTCATTAGGAGACATACCTATCAATTGGGTAGGAGTATTATTATAAATATCATTATTTATACGAAGACCCTTAACCCATGCTCTAGATCTATTAGTCAAAGGTAAATAAAAATCTTTAGCATCTTGCTGAAAATAAGCATGCTTTTCAAATTCTTAATGGTCATATTTAGCAATAGCTACACCATATTTAGAGTTAGCATATTGAATTTTTACATCATGACTAAATAATAAATCTCTACACTCATCCAAAAATTCTGTACCTCTATCAATGATTAAAACATTTGGCCAAATAAGAGGGCAATTTGGGTTATTATAAATTTTTTAAAACACTTTAGCTACTTGTGCAGATAATTTATTAGTTAAAGCAAAACTACAGCAGAACCTAGTAGCTACATCTTTTATTACAAGCCTATACTTATAAATTCGATTACCTATTTTACAATAAGAGAGTGGTGTAGTATCAGATTGATGCATGTTGTTTAGATCTTGTATATCATTAAAAGAGGCATACTGAATGAATTTAGGCCTAGGCTTGTGTATCTGATGTAAAGCCTGTTGGTCTAACCATTTTTTTATTTCAGCTGAAGTAAACTCATATCCAGCTTTCTTGCAAGTACCCTATATTTTTTCAGCAGTTCGATTATAGTCCTCAGGTCGATAATAGAGTTTTTGCAAAGTAAGATCTCGATCAAGATCATGTGCTCTCTGAGAATTGATATAAATAACTGGTTCTCTTATTTTGATTCTCTTTTATAGATCTAGCAATTTCTCAACTGCCTTCTTGCAATTCTTGCTTGAAGCCAAAAAATTAAGATATCTCTTAAATCTGTAAAAAAAAGTTAACTATATATCTTTTTTCGAGCTTATGAGAAAAAATTATAGTAAATAAAAAATGAAGGAGTTACAACAAACTAACCAAAAACTCTATGAGGTGGTATTACAATTAGCTGAATCAAATAGAAATTTCGAACAACAGCTATATACCTTAGAAAGAGTTATAGATATATGTGAAAAAAGAATATAATATCTTGAAGAAGAGTTAAATAACACTATCGAGCTTTCTAGACAAGACAAAGAAGAATTATTAGAAGAAATCTCA